TTAGAAAAATCACCTGTAGGCCAGCAGCTGCAAGGAATAATTTAAGATAAATGGATAAGCCATCAAAATCATAAGCTAGTGGAAATGGTTTCAAAAAAGAAAAGGTCAAACAACCTTAATTACAAGGTATTGTTAACTGTAATACCAATACTCAACATAAATCTTCCAAGGATATAAATTTACGCTTGAATGACACAAAGGATATACCTGAAGGAGGAAAAGGTTACAAGAAAGGGAACCAACCTCAAGATGAAAATGTGTTGTGGTTTAACCTGGCAGGAAGCTCAGCATCACAAAGCTATTTGCTCATTCCCCCAAGTGGGATGAGAGAGAGAACTGGAAGCAAAACAGAACTCATGGGATGAGACAAAAAATATTTACTAAGACAGAAAAGGAAAATAAAAACAAGAACAAAACCCACCAGTATACTGCCCCGCCAATTCCCGAGCAGGGGCTGATCCCCATTCCAGCTCTATAGCCTCCCACATGCTGTCAAGCGCTATGGAATAAGCCCTTGCCTAATTCAGGCCAGCTGTCTAGGCTCCACCTCTCCTCCTGGAGCATTCCCAGTACTCAGCAACAACCACAACATTGCTGTGCTATTATAATGCTAATATAATGCTGTCTCAGCTGAAAGCAGGACACAATGAAATATGTAATTTTTGTCCTAAAACAAACAAACAAAAAAAACCAGAAAGGGATGTCAGAGCCCAGAGACTCTGAGTATTACCCATGCTTAATACTAGCTCATTCCTACTCTTGGCCACATTGGGAACAAAGATGCTGCATTAACTTCTTTTCTTCCCTCAGATGTGTCAGTCATCTTCTCAAGCTCAGCTGTCCCTCTCTCTGCCCATGAATTCCTTTTTCACAGTATCTGCTCTCAAGTCTGTTTGGCCATCTATATGTTGTACCTATACATTTACCATGAGGAGTCACATACTGAGAGTTCGGGTGCTCTGGGCTTGGGTGGTTTGTTCCCTGACCTTCCTCTTTTTCTATGACCACAGAAAAACCCTTCTTTCTCTCATTGGTAGTGCAGATCCTGGCAATTTAATCTGCTTCTACCAACCTGCTTAACCTTTCTTAAGGACATAATGAACGGAGTTAATCTGTAAATAAATACAATGGCAACTTCAGTATCTTCCTAATAACCCCTTGCTAAAAATCACAGAATAGCTTAGGTTTGGAAGGGATCTTAAAGATGACCTAATTCCAATCCCCCTGCATGGGCTGATTGATGCCCACCAGATCAGGCAGACCAGGGCCCCACATCCAGCCTGGTCTTCTCTGCAAATGTTGATGGAGCATCCCAGCTTCTTCTGGGCAGTCTGGGCCAGGGTTGCACCAGCCTCTAAGAAAAGAAGTTCCACCTAACATCTAATCTAAATCGCACCTCTTTTAGTTCAAAACTGTTCCTTCTTGTCCCATCATTATCAGATGGTGTAAAAAAAATCAGCCCTCCTCCAGTTTATAAGCTCCCCTCAAGTACTGGAATGCCACAGTGACGTCTCCCTGGAACCTTCTCCATGCTGAACAAGCCCATCTTCCACAACCCTTATTCATAAAGAGATGCTCCTGCTCTCTCATCATCCTTGTGGTCTTCCTCTGGACATGCTCTAACGGTTCCATGTCTTTCTTGTACTGTTTCCCAAAGGAAACAGAGCAAAGATACTTATACTGCTGATTCAGGTATCAGGACATGTGAGACACACAGCACTTGTTTAGGGATAAAAAGTGATGTTTAAGACATATGCTGGCAACTTACCTCCTCTTACTATATTAATACTCCAGTATTTAAACATAAACATGGCAACTGGCTCAACTGGCTTTACAAAAACAACAAAAACAACAACCAAAAACAAACAAAAAAAAAACAACAGAGAAACTACTCTGCTACCAGTTCAATGCTGTTTGATAACAAGACTGTGAATACATGGCAGAGGCAACTGTCATTGAGCAACTGATTTTGAACAAAGAGCAGTCAAGGGCACAACAAGGTCAAGAAGGAGTTTTTCAGCTGAAGAAGAATATGAAAAAGCGAAAACTAAGAAAGGAAAATGAGGAAGATATTGGGGATAACAGAAAAATGTCATTAGTACACTTTTTCTAGACACTAGTAATGAGTGTTATCTCACATCTCAAGTACGCAGCGAAGAGGGATAACAAAGTTGTTTGTCGTGCAGAATGATTAATTTTGGTCCTTCATCCCCTGCACAGCATTAACATCATTAACCTTTGCTTCCCCACCTCTCCCAGACAGCTACCTCTGCCACTAGCTCGGTTTATTTGAAGCAAGGGTGAAGCTGATCACAAAGTGCGCCTGTGTGACTCAAAACATAATAATTCAAATCTGTTTTCTCTACTTATCCAATAATTTGGATCAATCTCATAGGAACTTCGTATCACTGATGCTTCCTCCCACATATCAAGCTTGTTGGAGGCAAGCAGTTACAGGTGCTTTGAGGGGACTATCCTACAGGCAGACAGAGTGACTACACAAACCACCTTTTTAATACTTCCAAAGCCCAAGCAAAATAAACATCAAGTCTTGAGCTGCAGAAACATATTACTCATTGACTCATGCATTATGTTCAGTAAGCACAAGGATAAACAATGCAATAAAATCATAGGCCAAACAGAGCTGTTTCAACAGAGATGGCATCAAAGCCAAGCTAAATCACCGTCTCTGCTGAAAGGGCTGCTCAGCTGTCCATGGCAGTGAAAAATCACTGCAGTGGTTACATGACATTTTGAAAAACGTTAATAAAGAGTCAGCTATACATTGTGTAATTAGCAAGCATCTATGTCACATTAAAATACATTAATTTAACTAAATTGGTAAGGAAGGAGACAGAGGTAGGCTTTGGACACTTGCAGAAGCTCTGCCCAAATCTGGCTATTGTTTGGCTGTAGTTGTAACCTACAAGATAAGCGCCAGCTGTGCCAGCCTGGGTCCAGTGAAACTTCAGTCTAGAAGTGGGAGCAGCTACGGCCTTGTCAATACAATGGGTAGCTTGAGTTTGGATTTGCTAATGCTGAGCTCCATAAATGTGCTTTGACTTTCACATGCCTATAAATCACAAGAAGTTGCAGTGATGTGAGTGATGATACACAAGTCAGAACTGCTGCAATTGAAAGGGAGATTCCCCAGTGTTTTGTTAATTCTCATTCAAGTCATCTATGCTACGCAAGTTGAGTTAGTATTTCCACCAATTCCAGAAATTAAATTATATCATCAAATATTGACCTTTTTCCTTCTGTCTTCTTAATGCCATTCCCAGGTTTGATTTTGATAATGGGCAATTAAACAGCATGTTGTTTTTCTTTTCTTCTGGGCTTTAGTTAACACTTTTTAGAATTCATGTAAAGAATGTAGGACAGAAGTGTTGCGTTAATTTACAGAAGTATATCAGAAGAAAAATTGCATGAAACATTGACATTATGAAAGATTTTTCCCCGCTTCTAATTGTCTGAATGAGTCACTTTTATTCAACATTTGTTACAGCAACAGAGAAGATAAAGTAAAGCTATTGCTGCCTAGTTTCAGCATGTTGGATACTGTTAAATAAGATGCACTGTGTAAAATAGTAAAATTTTATAGTTTATGCAAAATATATTAAGTCAAATTAAAACACAAGGAATAACAAGGATGACTCCAAATCAGAAACTGGAAGCAATTTGTTTTGGGAGCCATATCCTGCAGATCACCCAGTAAGAACTGGGAACAACCTTACAACATGGCTATAGCAGCTGCCCTTAGTGTTTAAAATAAACAAGAGTGGTCTTGGACCAACCAACAAATGATTACTACTTCCATGCCTAATTTATTCATTGATATTTGTTCTGATTCCCCCCTGAAGCCCACTCTCCCTTGAATCTTTTTGTTAACTCTCAATAAGGAGCTTAGCATTGATTATGTGATCCAAGCAAATTAACTACCTGTTCCTGATCAGGCGTGTTGGAGATATGCACATTTAATTCACAGCATAAAGAGGCAATACAGTTCTAAATCTGAAGACTTCTCCAGCAGTAAAGGAAATAAAGCTTATCTATGAATATGCAATTATGTTGCATGATAAATGTGAATTCATCTGTATACTAAATAAATAGGCGAAGAAATAACAATGTCCTACCAATGCTCTAGAAATCAAGTTAAATGTCAGCAGCTTTGTTTCTTAAAATCAGTGGCAGAGGTAGTACTTAGTACAGAGAAACACTTTCCCATAAACATTTATTAGGACTGGCTCCTATGATTGGCTTGTATTAAAAAAAAAAAAAAAAAAGAAACAAGGAATGACAAAAAACACCTTGCTGTACACAAGTTTCCTACAGTTAAATCACACGAGGCTACATTTTAAAGGGTTTTCTTAACAGTTTCTGTAGTGTTCAGTAACAAGCAATTTGTCAGGTCCAGAATGGAGAGCTATCTGAATACACTATATGGACAAACTGCCTTCAACTCATATTTTGCATCCAATTTACACATTTGCTTACAGGACAAGACTTTAGAGAGCCTGACACTAATGAGATACCAGTTACAGCCAAGTAGGCAAGGCACAACTTCAGGCTTTCAAAATTCCTGACATATATTATACCTGCCCATCTCTGCTGTAATTCTAATGAGAGTAGCCTTTCCATAACACCTACTCTAAGGCCTGGTTTTGGCTTCTAATGTAAGTCTCCCATCACATCTGAAAAGAAATGGTATTTCCACGTGCCCTATTCTCTACCAGTGACCCAGGGCAGAAGGTTTCCTCTTTACACAATGCAGGAAACAAATGTTTTGATGGAAATCCGATCAAAGACATGTAAGCCTTGTTCAGAAATGAATTCATTTTGTCCCACACGACTCCTCTCATAGTCTTGACATGCTGGACTAGTCAACCATAATTGGGAGTAAAATTGTGAAGCTGTTCTTTTGGAAAAGAGCCTGGATATTGCTACCAAAAGACTCACAAACTCTGAACTCATTAGCTCTCAAAATTAAACACACTTACCTCTTCAAGGACATCTGCAAGCTTACTGAGTATCTCCTCAGGAAGGCTCTGGAATGTGGGAACACTGCAATACAAGAGAAATTTTAATTAATGCATAGCTCCCTATCTTTTTTAAACTCAGCTGCAGTTGTTTCATTTGTATTTGGCCCTCATCGTTTGTGGCTGAACAAGAGGTCGGCAGAAAATCAACATACATCACGGGAATCCAATCTTCATCTACCAGCTCAGATGTATTTTTAAATGTTGACTTGTTACGACGGGAGACCACTCGTGGTAAACATCTGGAGAACCACTTGCAAAGCTGGTAATCAACTACGGCTCAATTAAGGATTTAATGGAATGAATATGTGCTGCAAATCTGTTCAGTCACATATATGACTGAGCAAATCTTTCCTGCTCCACCTCACCAGACACAAACAAATAAATTAATAAACAGACCACAAATGCAAAAGGGATAACTCCAATCAGCAGCAGATAAAGGGAGAAAGGTCCTTTCTTAGTTTCTCCTATGTTTCATAGTTTTTTTTCCATGAGGAAAGGTTGAGGGAACTGGGCTTGTTGGAGAAGAGAAGGTGCCAGGGAGACCTCATTGCGACCTTCCAGCACTTGAAGGGAGTGTATAAACAGGAGGGGGAACGGCTGTTTATGAGGGTGGATGGTGACAGGACAAGGGAGAATGGTTTTAAACTGAGACAGGGGAGGGTTAGGTTAGATATTAGGAGGAAGTTTGTCACTCGGAGTGTGGTGATGCACTGGAACAGCATGCCCAAGAACTTTGTGGATGTGGTCAAAACTAGATATGATTCTATGAATGACTGAGACTACACAGACAAAAATGTGGAGTACAAAGGGTACAAAGACTGCAACAAAAAAGAACTGAATAGCAGTTAGAATTATTGAAGATCTCATCCAAGGCTTGCTTGTTCTCTTTTACCAAAGTAGAAACTCTTCCACTTTTTTTTTTTTTTTTTTGTAGAATTTCACTTGCCAGTATCTCCCACACCAGAGTTGACCTTCTGGTCAAGGTGGGAGAGAAATGCACCCATGGTCTACAGGCCTGAATTCTGGGAGGATGAGCAATGTGAAATTGACTGAGTCATCAAAATTCCCAGGTGACACCAAACAAAACACGTGGACACAGTGTACATTTCTGAGGTAGGAAAGAACAACTCTAACCACTTTAACTAAAAAATGCCTGTCATCAGTAGCCTAATTAGCAATGCAACCACATGAGATATTAGCACAAACATAGCACTGAGATGCTATTGCTCTTTTGAGTTTTATTTCCAAGAACATGAGCTGCTTTATCATGCTTCATTGCAAAGCATATGCATAAGATTATGCTCCTAATATTAAATTTAGATCCCTAGTGTGTTGCTCTAGTCTCAGAAACATTGATGATCAGGTGCAAAGTTAGGAGGGAGTGGGCTGCTAGGGGTAGATCCCTGCAGAGAAGTAAATAAAACCTTAAGTAAATGAGATTTTTACTTGCACATCAGATTTTTCCTTCCCCACGAGATTTCACATTTTACTTTTGATCACATAACTGCATAGATATTATTCTCCATAACTTCCATAACTTTCCAGAAACCAAAAACTCACAAGGTTTTTGCAACGCAGAACTTGCTGCAGAGCAGGTATTGTCTTCTGCCTGGGTAGTAATCACCCACCCAGGTTCTATGAGCCCAAAGCAGTTTCTAGATACACGATTTGGTGGCTGTTGGTGCATCCAGAAGAAATTCAGCCTTACAAAGAAAGGGAGGTCTGCAGACTTTGCAGAGAACATGTTAGCAAATAATACTCTGTCCGAGGCCAAGCTTCCTTGCCACATCAAGTGCCCAGTGAACTTAATTTGCAATTACAATTAAAGCAGAATTTGTTTTTATTAACTTAAATGTATGCCACACTGCTGTGGAATTAAAACATATTTCCAGACTTTCTATTTATTAAAAACAGAAACAGCAATGTATATATATTAATATGTATTAACAGCAGAACTGAATTGAACAACTTGATGCAGAAAAAAAATTCTGATTATTCAGGCTCTCAACATTTTCTTCTTCCTTTGAAAGCACTCTTTTTCAATGGAAAAGCAATGCAACAGACCACAAAACAACTAAAAAGGCATTATGTGATGCCCAGGCCTAATTATAGAACAAAAGCTTATTCCAAAAACATTTGCATTTCCAAGTAAGCAGCAAACTAATAGAAGATAACATTCAAAAACATCCAGGCAAGTTCTACTGTGGTTGCATCAGAGCATTCCCAAACTGGGGGACAACCTCATTGCAAACAATTTTTTTGTTTTATTGCTTTTGTTGTTTGTTCTTTTTTTTTTAAAAAAAAAGCTTATTACATCCTGTGAATCTGTGCAACCCATAGAAGGATAGCAGAGCACATTCATTATAGCCCAAACGTGAAAAAAATATGGGAACAGCAGGAAATCTCTGAAAGAATTGAAAGTCTTATTATGGAAATCTTAGGATATTAAATAAACAAGAAAAATTGCCTAAGAGAAAAGCTTCTAACTTTAACACAGCAAGAGAGAAAATGAACTTGTAGAATACAACAAATTCCAACTACATTACGCCAAAGAGTTCTCAAAAACACATCATGGATTTAGTGGAGGTGGCAGTACAGCCAAATTGTAGTGGGGCTTCCTTGGAGGAAGTTATACAAAACTGCCCATCACTGCAGTCCAATATATATCCCCAAAAAACATGAAACAAAAAAACCCAAACTGTTTCAAACAAATGCCTTGGTGAAAAAACAGTGAGAAAACATTTATTGGCCTGTCAGAAATACATTATGAATCCAGATATATAGAGCTGATGGTAGAATTGATAAAAAAAAAGATTCCAAAAGTGCTGAAGAATATAACACAGTATTGACACAATGTAACACAGTATACTTTATTTGCCAATTTAAAATAAGATATACTCCCATTTTCCTCATGACAACATTAAACAGAATCCTAAATTAGATCCTTATCTCCTTCCAAAATCTGCCTGTAGCATTTTAAGATCTGCATATGAGGACTGATATTTTGAAAAGTACTTCCCACTCATCGATACCTGCACTCACGTGAAAATAAAGCCTCAGCTTAGAGGAAAACATCTGAGTAGCACACTACAGCAGAGTAGAAAACATATACTGCAAAAGCATAAAGGAGCAGAAGGCACCAAAGTAAGAAATGTTTAAAAATTTTGTAGCACAGCAACAAGTAAGCAGAGTTACATTCTACATTGTGAAACTTCAGTCTGAAAACAGAACATCCAGCATTTCAATTCAGATATATCCATTATTTATGATAGAAGAAATCAAAGTAAACATGGCTCAATTCCATTATGAAATGATCTATCCTGTGTCCATGACTAAAAATGCAGAATTAAGTAAACCCAAACTTGCCTTATGAAGTTTTTTTAACCCCAGTCCTTAAAAAAATAAACTTAAGTAATGAAGGCTTTAAAACATCCAGGTGATGTTCTCTGCATAACCATCACCTACATAGTGGAAGAACCGCATCTTCCACAGACTGGATGCCAACAACGTGTGCAGCCTTGCCTTCAAGCTGCGTTTGCCACAAGTCTGAAAACCCTGTCCTAGGGACTTCCTCCAGCTGCCTTGTATTCCCAATAATGAAGAGCACTGAATACGTTATTGAAAGGCAAAGATCTACATTCAGACACAATTCAGGCAGAGGCATGTATCAGCATCCCTTCTTGTTCATCCTGGCTGAACACCCTGGGCACTACTAGGTCAGACAGAAGGTGACCAGGGCCTTTTCTGCTGCCTAATCCTTTAAACATATTTTGAGAAAAAAGTGGGTGAGTGTTTCATTGCAGAAGATTATCCAGCTCTGCTGCAAACTCCCCTGTGATGCAAAGAGCTGGTTGGTGATCAACACCACAGCACGTAATGCTTGTAACAGCAACAGTTTAAAAAAAACACAATCATAAGAACTTCTGCCTACGTTATGAGATTAATGACATAAATCTGGGTATGGAATAAAGACACTGAAGTTCTATTCAGCTGCAGTCTCCCCCTACTCCTCAAAGTTTTTTATAGTGACATGGGTACTCAAAAATGTTTCTACTACTCACTAGTAGAATGATTCCATTCCACTAAAGGAACCACTACCCATTCCACTACTATTTTATATGCTCCATCTACAAAAACACACAAAACCCACCCGAAGAGCAGCCATCCTACAATGCTACTTTTTAGAACACAGTGAGGATAACCAGATTCCTACCCAGGGTTTTCTGCCTGGCTAGTGGCTTCATGGCTCAAGTCTGCATAAGCAAATTGAGTTTTACAGCAAATGGTAATAAACCTTCATGTTTTTAAATCTATCCACAAACACAACAATGCTTTATTGCTTCCTGTCCCTAGCTTTGCTAGACTTTCCTTTGACTACAAAACAGAACTGAACTAGCTGCATTGGTGGAAGAGCTGCTCAAGCTGGCAATGAGGTAACTTTTTGTTAGCTATACCCCATGGTATTCAGCTGTGGAATGTTTTGTACTTGACAATCCATAGACCTTGTGAGGGCACTGTGGGGAATTACTTGCTGTCAGTAGGAAATGCAGAGCAGCTTTCCTCCTGGCTCTGGAAGCTAACAGGGAGCTCAACATGTTAAACAGAGGATGCCAAAACAGGGAAAAACAAGTGTGCAAAAATGTCCATGAGGAACCTCTGTCCAAATACAAAAGCAAAGACATTCCCAATTTGAAAGGGGGTAGAAGGAGGCTCAAAAGGTCATGTCTTGATCTGCAGAGATCTGTAGCTTCTGACTTAGATGCAAGCAACATTCCCTGTTACCAACACCTACGATCTGCAGGGAAGTACATGAAGTAGGTGACTGCGTAACTTTTCATTCATCCCAGGGGACTACCCCAGTACTAAGCTAGCATGGGCTTCCAAATTTTCCTGGCTGCAATCCAAGGGGCTGATTCTATCCAAAGAAACACTCCATGGCACAGATGCCAGCACTCCGACAGACAGCGCATCTGTTCTGACACGCGTGAGAATGGTGCAGGGTCCTTGGCTGTGTGTTGTATT